TATATATATATATATATATATATATATATATATAGTGTAGCTTTAAAAAAAAGTGATGGTGGTGACGATGACTATTACAATGATCATGATAATAACAATAAAAATAATAATGATGCTGCAAAGGCTACAAGGTTATTGTTTCTACTTCGGTTGTTTGCAATTGCCTTGAATTCTAATGGTGTTCTCCAGTTATTATTAAAGCCAGTAAAATCTATTTTTACTGCATCCCGTCTCTTAAATAAATTCATCACCCGTACTGCATCAACTGATATTCGGAACTCTGTTTGCTGCGCTCGAGGTCGCTCCACTTACTCAGTGGGTTGTCTGATGTTAATCATCTCATCACAACCCCCTTGAGTGAGTCGAATGCCCAGGAAGCTGAAGGGTTTAGACTTCAGAAGTTGCTGGCTTATTTTTTTTCTGGTGTTTTTTGCTTTTTTTGACTTTACTTTTAATTTTCATATAATTTTCATAAAGAAATACTTTCCAAATTTATGGGATTGCTGAATTTTGCTGAGTGATAAAGTGGTGCTGCAGAGAAACGTGAATGCATTGAAAATTTTATTCTTTTGCTGCGTTGATAGTAGATAAATTTTTTGGAAAGCTAATGACTGAATGTTTTTTCCGCTATCTTTTTTCTTATGCTCTCACCGATCTGTTGTTGTATACAGACAATGATGACATATATTTTGTCCGCTAACAGAAACGAACAGTATCCACGTTTGTTTTAACAGAATAATTTTGTTCAACGCAAGAATTTTGTTATTTATTGACAGTATTTACGCGCACAAAAGAAGGAGGGGAGATTAAAATACCCCTTCTTGGACAATGATGTCGTTCAATATTTTTAATATATTTGAAATTTTTATCACAAAGCCTTTGTTACTGTTAATATTTAATTTTTTGGCTCTTTTAAAATTTAGGAAATTTGAGCTTTGTTACTTCACAAATAAATCTTCAACACTGAATCCTCAAAAAGTTCCTTCCACTTTTTTACGCATCTTTCTAGGTTTTGTCTGCTTTTTTTGAGGCAGTGTGGCGGAGATCAGTTTGGATTTTAATCTGGATTTTCCATGGGGATTCTACTGTATAGAATACAGCGAAATAAGTTGAAGGTCTGAGGGCTCTTGTACTTCGTCATTTTTGAGTCATCAGTTTTCCAACTACGGATTTCATTCCTAATTTCAAAACACATTATTTTTGATTTTTTTTTAACAACGGCGCAAAAAAAGTTTTGCAGTTGTCTCTGAGCATCAGACTTTACTTATACTTTTAGTTCTTTGTACATTAGACTAATAAATATTTATTGTTAATTCCTGTTTTAGCGTAGATAATTTTTCTCGTACTATTCGAAATATTGATATCATTCGGCGAGAAGTATCAGCAGCAATTGAAGAATGGCAGAGATTTTCATCGTTGTACTTTCGAGAAGTGTCACCAAATGCGGATGCAGATATTAGAATCAGCTTTGCAAGAGGTGATCACTACGATGGATTTCCATTTGACGGTAATGGTCGAGTTTTGGCACATGCATTTCCGCCCGGTGGAGGACCCGGAGGTAACGTTCATCTGGATGACGATGAACACTGGACTGTTCGACTCATTGGTGATCCGCTAGCGAACTGTTGGTACTTACGTGATTAAAAACAAGCGTTATTGAATACTTTTTTTTTAGTTAGACTTATTTTGATTGGTCTGTTGCACAAAGCTTCTGCTGAAATCAACTTTTTCGCAGTCTAAAAACGTTTGTAAAGTGAAACTCTCTCTATGTTTGTCAAACAAAGAATCTATTAGATACTACTACTTGTATTTACAAACTGAAAGTGTTTATTTACAGTGATTAGTCTTCGAGCAATACTTCTTCACGAAATTGGCCACAGTCTTGGACTAGCCCATTCTTATGATGATAAGAGTATAATGTATGCATTCTACCAGCATAGTCTACGTCCAGAATTGACAGTTAGCGACATAAGTTCTATTCAAAGGTTGTATGGCAAAAAGAGTAAGATACTTTGAAGGACTTCGGAAATTTAAGAAAAAAATACTAGCTTTCTAAATTTGCTTTTTTGGCATTTGAAAAATGTTAGCGGTATATCTGTAGTAATGTGAAAACAAACTATTTAGTAAATTAAGGCTTCTTGAGGATGGCTACTTTACAAAAGCTTCTATAAAAAGTTATTCAGTTCGCCATGTTGGATTTACAACAGCACTTACTCGTCCAACGACGACGCCGCGACCAAGAACACCAAAAACAACTAAGTGGTGGCATATTCCAAAAATACCTTTAAAGCCACCTACAGTATCTCCGCGAACCCCACCGGATATCTGTAGCACAAAAATTGATGCAGTCACCAGAGTTCGAGGAGAATTCTTTGTTTTTAAGGTTTGCAACACTAAGCACATTTATTTCACGGGTTCTAGCAAATTCTTTAGCTGCGTACATTTTTTCCATTAAATTTTGAAAACATATTCAGCGCAGTCTCAGTAAGCATTCTTGTTTTACACTTCCAATCCTTGAGTCGTCGCAGGGTTTCTTCGTCTTATTTCAACGTTTATTCAGTTACAAAGTATATTACAAAGTATTATAAGCATGTAACAGAGGAAGTAAGCATATATAAAAAGAACTTTTGATGAAACGAAAATGATTAAGAGCTAATATCTGAGAAACATAGGGGAGACGTGTGAGGGCGATGTTTACATTTTCCTTCAAATGTTGCCGGTGATGATCAAACTTTATCATTTTGCTTGTACCTTTGTTCGGAATTTGGCCTAAAATGTTTGTATACCATTTGAAGCGGCTGACTCCCTCTTCTGACTTTTAAGAATAAAAAGTTTTTGTCTCTTTTTTTTTCTATTTTTTAGTTTAGGGGAACCTTAAAAGTCAATTTTTTAGAGCGAAGGCATTTTGCCTACAAATTGTTGTTACTAAAGTTTTATGGTCGTATTCTACGAAATAAATCGCCTTCATCTCAATGAGTGTGATCAAGAAGGCTTCTTGAGAAACCTCAAGGCTTCACTGCTGTTCTTTGTTTTGACGGCGAGATTTCTTTATTTTACGAAGAAAGTTGAGAAAGTTGCAAAAAATCAGGCATTTCCAAAAAGTATAGATAACGATGTCGCTTACTGCTGTGAGTAAGACTTAGAACTAGCCTACCTCTGAAGTCAATGCTTATGATTTTTTTTGCTATCAAAGAGTTTTGAAGATGGTAACAATAGTGAAGTTAGTAAACTGAGTGAAGCATTGAAAAGCATCATTAGAACGCTATCAAATTTATTTAACATTGTTTAAAAAGCTGTTTATATGGTCTGCTTCTATGAGAAATACATCATTTTAAACGTTATTAAGCAGGATAAATACGTTAATGTTATCAAAAATTGTTTTAGTCATTGTGCACTGGATTTTTTAAATGATTATGCGGTTACAAGATGCGTTATAGATTCAAAATTTCCTTCAAAACGGCCACATTGTTGGTAATACTTTTTTTGTGTAGAATGTAAAAAGTTTTTAGGATAAATGGCTTTGGCGGTTTCGAAATACTGGTGAACTTCGATCAGGACCAAGGCTGATTTCACTTTACTGGCGTGAATTACCAGAGAAGATTGATGCAGCTGTAGAGGATAAACGATATTTAATGTTTTTTACCAGTATGGCTAAGATTTTTTTATTGATTAACTAATTGACTTCACAAAATCTGAACTACCTGTTTTCGAAGCTGATCAGTTCAATTATTTGAACATTATTTGAACCCAGTCGGGAAATCGAATAACTGTTCTTGTAGGAAAGGATTAGGCTAGGTTGATCATTGGTTTCAGGCTTTTAGTAATTTTGTTGGGACATGCAAGTGTGCTAAGGTTTTTGCCGATTGCCCAGTATATTGCATAGATTCGAGATAAAAAAGTTTTTTAAGACTTTCAAAGGTTTAAGATTTCAACAATAATTTTAGAAGATACGTGTCATTCATTTTAAATGTGACTTATTTTCATGCCTACTTTATGCAAAGCTAGTTCCTGAAAAAATTTTGAAAAAAAGTTTTTTGTAGAGAATAAATGTTATATTTATGATGGACATCGGCTTTTATCAGTAAAGCGCCTAACCGATTTCGGGTTACCCTCCTATGTACAAAAAGTTCGCTTGGTTTATGCATGGAACTATTGGCCAAATGACCCCATTTACATTTGGACTGAAAATGACGAATACTGGAAATTAGATAAGGTTAGCAATATACTAAAATTTCAGGTTATTTTTAGTTTGTTGAGTAACTCTAAAATTATGGTAGGTTCATTTGTTATAAACATTTTGTTTTTGCACAGCTCTGGCACTATATGATGTCACTTTCTAGGAAACGGGAAGAGTAGAACTGGGTTATCCAAGACGAATAAGTGCAGTATGGCATAATGTTCCAGATGATGTAAGTGCAGCTGCGACGCTAAATAATGGTAACTTACTCTGAAGTTTTGGAAAGCAGAAAGACAGCATTACTTATTCTAAATAAGCATCTTTAGAAAAAAAAAAGTGAAAATAAAGTTAAGAAACCAGAAGGCTAGAAAAAACTGAAATAGCGTAGGTAGCAGATTTTAGACACATTCCGAATACAGCGGATGCATCTTATATTAGTCCTCGTGTTGAAGGCTATTTATTTATATTTTTTGAATACAGGTGAGATGGAAACGAAAATAAAAACTTACGGGAAAAAGTAAAATTTTTTTTTCTAGATCTGTTCTTCTTTTCGCCGACAAAAGCAGTCAAGTTTTATAGCTTAAACATGACAGCTAGTGGCCCAATACCGGTGTCTCGAATTTGGGGGAGTTGTCGTCAACCCCTCAGAATGTATTCTGGTGCCCAACAACGATCTCATTATTACCTTTTTTTAAATTTATTCATCACTGCAGTATATTTCTACTGTTACTGTTTAATGGATCTTCATCATATCTGTATGTAAGTCGGATGTATAAATATTGTCCATTCTTTTCTTGTTTAATCTGCTGTAAAAGTACATTAGAAAAACAGCGTATAATTAAGAAAAAAAACGAGTGAAGGGGAACGAAGTAGCGCGGATAAAAAAAATTGAATTAGTGAAAAGAGAGAGGAAGGTTGGCTCGTGAAGTAGAGAGATACTGACATGGGAGTATCATTTCACCGGTCTTTTAGGCTATTTACTGATGGTTCTATCATCAAATATCTTATGGCTTCGTACCAGATAACTTGAGATAGACCTGTTTTGCTGACGATTTGAATTGATGGTGATCATTGTCTTTACTTTACGAATAACCACTTTGAACGATAGCTGTTTATTAATCGTCATGAACCAAAAGTTACCTGCTTATTTGATAATTCAGCATTAAAGCAAGTCTGTAAGAGAATGCTGAACAGAAGTATTGTGAAAGCGATAAATGAGGAAAGAAAGAAATTAATAGACACTAAAGCAAGCAGCAGACAATAAGAAATTTAGTGAAGCTAGCTAGTTTGTGGAAAAACTCATCGTCTCCATTTATGAGTTAGGCTTAATATTTGGTTTTCTTTCTTTTGGTATGTTTGAAATTTTGGTAATTCTTTCAAACTGCAATTTTTTTCCAGTATATTCGGAAAATTGCATTGACGAACGACGTAATTAGGAGAGCGTGTTGTGGATGGTGACGGCTTATTGAGTTTTCTGAATATTTCAAGTGAAATCAGTGAATTTGTGGGGATTATAATGAATAATCAAATTGACAAAACCTGCAGTATTGATTACAGTGAACATCCAATTGACATTTAGCAAAATTTAATTAGCATAAATTACCTGTTAAGAAAAAAAGGAGAAAGAAGCGTGTGGAAAAAGCGACGGCTTGTTCTTACGAACTCCGTTTATAAATAACTTTTCATCAGTTGACCACAACTTTAATAAGTAATTTTTGAACTTTTCCTTTCTGGTCTTTCCGGTGAAAAAGTTTCAGAAACAGCGAGATATTAAACACATTTAATGCCTCCGTGACAAGATGTCATGTGCCAAATGCTAAATACCGGTGACATCAGTAAATATAAAAATTCTTCTTTTAATTACTGTGAAAAATAGTACTTTGCTCGTGAATCAATTGGAGAAAATATTGTGGAATGCAGCTACTGCGTCGAGAAAGCGTACGAAAACAACACTGAAAAGATTCTGCAATCGCTCAAGTGGTGTTTAGACTTCAAACTTGGGTAGTCAAACATTCATTACAGAAAATATTTATCAAACATTAAAAACCTAGTAACAACGATATTCTACTCACAATTAACTGAAAAATATAGCCTATGGTAAGTGGAAAAAGAAGATTTATTACCAATGGTTTTCGAGTGTACGTAAGTGAACGAGCAAAATGGAAGCAAGTTGAGGAAACTCATCAGCCAGCGCTCAATTAAGGAAGAACATTTTCAGTGGGCTAATTGTCTAGAGACGTCACTGATCGGTTTGTGAGAAACCGTCCCCGACTGTCTTCTCTGCAGAACCTCAAGCCTCTGTTACTGATTAGAATATCCGATTTATTTGTTCGCAGAGATAGTTTTGCTTTTCGGAAAGCTATATTCAGTTAATGTATCAATAATACTTATATAATAAATAACACACCATCGGCTGTAAAATTGTTCCACCTTTTATCTGCGGTAACCCTTCTGTACTCTTCTGTGGCAGTCTCGTAGAAATTTCGTTCTGTAAAATCATGACTGCCGCTCTATGTAGATATACTGTCCGTACTTCGGCGCCGTCAAAAAACTTCATAGATTTATTCATTCGACCATTTTGTCAGCTTATCAATATCTTCTAAGACACTGATCACTGCTCCCAGCCGTTGATGAGTAGCCCGATGTCTTAATTCTTCCTTTGCAAAGCATTCTGTTAACCTTTTAATTGCTCTTTAATACGTCACTTTGCATTTAGTTAGATCTTTTTCCATTAGCTTAGCTTTTTCTTTAAGAACAAAGCTAAAAGTGAAATTTATTCAGCATGCGGATTTTATTCTCTGCATTATTACCTATTTTACAGTATTTTCAAAAGGTATCTTCCTTTATGAAACTACTTTTAAATTTAGACGATTTCTGCCTCAAATATTTATCTTTTACTATCATGTATTATCTGATCTTACAGCTCTATCAAATGTTGCAATTTTAATTCAGCTGCGGTGATTTAAGGACAGCAGTATTTCATTGCATCATCAAAAAAGATACAAATGCTTTAGAATCTTCTTCTGGAAATGCTACTAATTTCCAAAAATCGGTTTCTCTATAGAATGTCAAGTGCTAACAACCTGGTCTATTCCAGTAATGAAATCTTTTAAAATAAAAAGGCGATTTATTTAAAGTGGAGACGGCGAGCACTGCTGCCATTCCTGTTGTTTTACATTTCTTTACAATAAAAAAAATCTGCGTTTTTAAGAACGAAGTTGAAAGTTTACCGAGCTATCGACGTAGTGATCTTGTTGCCGTTTTAAAAGTACTGAAACCGAAGAAGTGAGATTTAATACAGAGTGCTATTGCAGGAGCTGGCTCTCTCATTGTCTATGAAGTTTATCGACACACAGTATCCTGAGTAAGCAGTTTGGATACTGAATACAGCCGAAACTGAAAGAGGGCGGTGGATAAATTTATTTAAACCATTTTTTTAATTGTTGGACTTGAAAGCTACTTTAGTATGGAAATTTTCTGTACAGTGCAAAGCAGGAAAAGGCGGCGCAGGAGACTGGTATGCTTGCAAAATACTGTCCTAACCAATTGCGATTTTTTGCTTCTTTGATAAGGACCTGTTTCTGTATCTGTTATTTCTCTTACATCTTTTATAGATTGTTAGTAAAAGGCTCCTGAGTTGATAACTCAAAGTATGTTACCTACAATAGTGCAGAAGCAAAGGATCTCAACTGAATGTGGCCGATGTTGTAAGTGCTTTGAATATGCCATTTTGAATTGTTTTCAGATCTAAGAAGGTTGTCTATTAAACTGGTTCCAGGTATAATTTAAAAAGAAATGCTCAGAGAATTCTTAATTTTTTAGAATTGCAGAATTACATACAGTATGAGTAGTGATCTTGAAAATTCAGTGAGATGGATTCCACTCGACCACTTTTTCATGTTGTAATGGGCAAGTGATAGTGGATAAAAGCTATATTTTGCTCAGAACTGTTTGGAGTACGCTCGTCTTTTGAAATATCCTGAAGACTGTAAACATTTAAATTCCGCGATAAATATCTTGAAGTGTAAAACTTCACTTGTAATTGCATAAAGTTTAAGAACAAGAGACGGAAGAAAACGTTTTGGGAATGAGTATCAAACTCAAATTTGGCTAGCGTTTATAAGTTTGATTGATTTTAACTATATTTTTGTGCACTCCAGCAATGACGATATTTTCATTTTATAATATTATTAAAGTGATGTTAAAAAGACAAGGGTGGTAAGCTACAGAAAAATCTGTTGGAAAAGTTGTTTTGTTTATAGTAGCAAATTGATGTTGGAAAGATGTAAAAGTGATTGATGCGACCATGTGAGATTCAAAAAGCAAAATTCTTTAGGAGGCATTCGGAGAACAATAGTTCAACCAGGGTGTCAGTTGTCTACAACTATTATCCTGTCGTGGTTTGCACTGTCTGTTATTGTCTACAATAGACTTTATTCTTTGCGGTTTTTTGAGCAGTTTTAACGCTTAACGTTTCAAAAAAAAAAAAAAAAAAAAATTAGTGCTTTTTGCTTTATAATTTTAGTTGCAGAGGTGTGGCTTGAAATGCATCAGAGATTTATTCGGTCAATTCGGAAATGTGTTGTCATGTTGCAGATAAATTTTGAGTGCTTGAGCACGGCGACATTTCTGTTAGGTAAAATGGAATTTTTTTTTTTTTTTT